AATATTACAGATATTCCATCCTTTTTTAATTACACATTTAAAAATGTGTTTCTGGAATTGTATTTTTTACTTCATTTAATAAAAATTTTGTGACCCTGCTTTCCCATCATAATTATCTTCAAATCAATAAAGTGACAGCAGATATTTCAACATAGCAATGTCAATAAATATAAATAAGTCATTACCAACATCTGTAGTCTAACAACTTATGAAGCAGATCTTCGAATACCAGGTTGGCTAAGATTTGGAACCTCTAAGACACTGTCAAACACAACTCACAAAGGCATCTCAGTTGAAAGTTTCTAAGAAAGTCTTTCCCTATGGCTTTTTAAGTTTCTCTTAGTGTTAAAAATATTGTTTTAAAAGTTCCCTTTTCAATAATGAAAAATTCAAGGTAGGTCTATAAGCCAGAATCTCATAGTCTATGTATAATTGATCCTTAGCAAGCTAAAATATTGTGATTTTTGTTTGATGTAATATTTTGTTTGATGTAATATTTGTTTCAAAGAAGCTTCTATAAAATTTCTCTGTGCCGGTAGGTAGAAGAAATCCTAAAGCTAATGATTCATTCTAAGTCTTTCTTTTCTTGTCAGTGCTGTCCCCCTGATTCCAGTGTCCAAGAGTTCACCAAGAAAGTCTTTAAATATATGTGTGTGTGTGTGTGTGTGTCTGTGTGTGTGTATACATGTCAAAGAGACACATTTTGGGGTGGTGAATTTTGCTTGCCTACAATGTGTAGATAGCATTGTACTTAGCTTAGTAGTAAAATACAGATTTGCTGGATTTAAATAGCCAATAGATCTCTAGCAATTAAGTAACAAAAAATAGTAGTAAGAATAATTTTTTGAAAACAGCAGAAAAAGGAACAGGGAGCATTCAGGGTAGGCAATGCAGTGTTAAGATACATAAGAGAACATGACTTGTATCCTACTCAGAATATTAGAAGTCAAACTTTGGTGAAGATTCAGGAGGGGAACGTGGCCGGAAGGTCCAACGACAAGCTGCAGTCAGCAAGAACCATCTTGGAAATGCAGATCCTCTCAATGAGCAAATCTTTTCACTGTTCAATTGCAATGAGTCAGTTGCACTTGCACTGAGTCAGTTGCAAGTTCTGTGGCCAAACCAGCCATGGAGTTAGAGTGGGACAGAACTGAGGAACAATAAACCCAGTTGATTGAACACTCTGAACTCTGACTCTGCCAAGTAACTAGGTTTTACAGCTGATGTATGGGCAGTGGCTAATAAAGATGCTAGGCAATAATGATAGTTGTGGCTAATGTGGATTTAATAATCATTTATGTACGATACACTGTTTTAAACCCTTTTCACACATGAATTTATTTAATCCTCACAACAGCTGTCTGAGGTAGGTGATGTTATTATCCTCAACTCATACATGAAGAAAATGAGTCACAGAAATATTAAAAAAAATTTAAAAGGTGTCTGGTGTCTTGTAGTTAGTAAGTCAGGGAGCCAGGAAGCAGACTGCTAGACACCGAAATGCACCCAAACTAAGTGTCAGAGCCTACAGAAACAAGGAACGACCTCAAGCAAAGTCATTATCGTATCCTAGACTATTAGAATCAGTTTATTATGTTCTCTAAAAGAATCTGTTTTAGGAGACAATAAAGAGAATCCTGCCTCAGATAGTAGAAAGTATGACTCATGAAAGTTATTATCCCAAGAAACATAAAAGGTAGAATCTACATTTTTTTAACAGTAGGAAATTTAAGATATTTCTAGATTTATTTGCCTTTTGTGAGAAATTTGTACTATTGCCAGTTATAAACTCACATGTCGGCATGACCATCCCATTCGAATGAGTGAATATACCTTGAATTTTTAAAATATCAAGAGAGAAAATATCCTATAGTGAGGAATGATGACATATGTATGATGATATATATGATATATATATAATCATTCCTCACTATAGGCACATACTTATATATGCTTTTGGAGTCTCACAGGAAATTTTCTTTAGCGTAGAGTTTCAGGATCCTTGATTGCATTTATCCTTTCAGTTCTTCATCTGGAGAAAGAATTTAGACTACTTCAGTGTGATGGCAGCTCCTGTCTGCAGACACTTCATGATTCAGCCTTTCCTTTGTGTGATTTCTGTGGCTTCACCAAAGTCACTGAAGTTGGAGGCTCCCAAAAGCAGAGAGTTGGGAAGCACTTGTGCTCTGTGAGGAATGACATTGGTTGAGTTATGTGCCAGGATGAGTTACATATTCCCACATGCCTCCTCCATAGGGAGGCAAGACATTTTATATTTCATTCCACCTAGCCAATTCCGACCTTCTGTCTGTTTGAGTCAGTATTTCCTTCAATATTGGTCAATAGAATTCTGCTGCTAATAAAGAATAAAAGGGTTGAGTAAATACTACTGCCACTTAAAGCTAACTGATTTTCAAATATTTATTTGTGGTTACCCACTCATTTCTTTTTCCACTATTGATTTTGGAGACAATTGAAAATCTCATGAATTCCATAATCTTTTTTTTTTCTTTTGCATTATCCAGGTTAGTGAACATAAGCAACCTTGCTGGAGTGGATATGGGGAGGAATAGGTGTTGGGGAAAACGATAGCAGTTATCTATTAAGGTTATAATATTACGTGTCAATTGCAAAATTTTAGTGATATGAAACAATGAAGATTCATTTAGCTTACATGTTTGTGGGATCATCTTTATTGAACTCACCTGGTCTGTGGTCAACTGCATGTTTATCTGTGTATCTCTGATGATTTTAGTTGAGCTCACTCACATGTCAGGGTCGTAGTCATTGGATGATCTACTTTGGCCTTGGCTCTGATAGTAGGGATGACTCCTCTACTCTTGTATCTCATCCTTCCACAGGCTGGGCTGAGTATATTCATGTGGCTCTGCAGAGAAGCAAAAGAAGCAAAACTCAATGCTTAAAAACACTTCAGTGTTCTGCTTGTGCCTCATTTGCTAACATCTCATTGGCTAGAGCAGTTCACATGGGATCAGACCAAGATTCGGAGAGCTCAACAATACTGCATGGCAAAAGGCAAAGATAGAAGGAGGGATAAAGAATTAAAATAATTTTCCTTCTACCTTTCTAAGTTCTTGGCTAAGGCCCCCCACCCCCCAATAAAAACATATGAACAGAAGAAAAAAACAAACAAACAGAAGTTTAATAACATATATGCCTCTTGTATGGAGATACCCAGGAAAACCTAGTAACTCCCTGAAATAGCCCCAGTCACCATCTTCAGTATGGTCTTCAGCTGAAGACAAAAGGTGTTGGGGAGGGAGCAGGGAGGCCAGTTAGAGGAGATTACCAAAAAAAGCACAGTAAACAAGGGTAAGGTTGTTGCATAGATTTAAGTCCTCTTTTCTTTACTGATAGATAAAAATTTCTTGAGATTTAGAGTATTCTTTTCTTCCAGATACAAAAAGGGAGATACTGTTACAAATAGAGATTTCCCTTATAAGTGTAAATGTCTCTAACAAAAAGGTAACTTCTGGTCAGTTTTCAGAGCTTTTCCTCTATCTGTTGTTTCTTAAAAATAATCAGGCTAAATTAATCCTTATGCCAAAGAGTTATATTTTTGAGGGGTATGTTTTGTTCCTCTTTAACCATTAATACAATCAATCTTCAGAAGAACACATTTTCCCAGGGGGTTGGGAGAGGGAGGGGTTGACTTTAATTTTCAGATTATAAACTTACAAATCAATATTTGTTTTATCCAAGCAAATAATAGCAAAAAAATCCTCCTAGCCATTTAAGACATTGACCAAGTTTTTAAAACCATATGGCTTTCTTTTTATTCATTCATTTTTAAATATATTTGTGGTAATCACAAGCAGCAATTTTTTTTAGTCAAGTAGGGATGTGGAGGGGGCATCAGTTCTCAAAGAATAAATTTCTCCTTGTTGTGTTTTAAAAGATTATCAAATAAGTTAACTTAAGTCACCCAGGACCACATTTCCCCCCAGTCCAGGATTCTTTTCTTAGAGCCATATCCTTCGACTATATTTTATCATGTGGGCTCATTTGATATTCAAATAATTGATCTCCCTGAGATACTGACTAGATTTCACTGGGAAATTGGAGAGAAAGGGGTTCAGTAGACAATCAACTTCTAGCCGTTTTGAAATTGCAGAGGTTAATGAGAAAAAAAACTGATTTGGTTGTAATTAGCAAAATGGCTCCCTTTTTAGAAGGCAACTCCTAAGGATCTCTTTCCAAAATAGAACCCTACAGTTTCTACTGTGAAAACATAGTTACTTTGAGGGGGAAATATTTATCTACACACAAATACTGGTTATGAATATGTTTCTAATATGAAAAAGCAAAATTCAATGGGTACTTTTTAAAGATCTTATTGGCTTTATTCAAGGATTTGTGAGTCCAGCAGCCTCTCCTCTAACAGGTAGAGAGGAGCTCTGAGAACCTGTGCAGATGGGAGGCTTCTGCAGAAGAGAGTGGGAATAAGAAAGTTATAGTGGCAAAAATTGGATTGGTTGTGGCGAAGTCCCTTTTCTTTAGGGATGGCAGGGGTCTATCAGGTCAATTACCTCACTAATGCTTATCAGTGACTCCTGATTGATTGGTTTAAAATTCCATTTCTGGGAGAGCCAAAACTATAATTAAGTTAGGTCTCGGTTTGGTGACATGGAGCTTAGCCTAAGTGACTCCATTTTGGACGCATCATCTGGTTTTTAGCATTGATATAACAGGAAGGAGTCAACATTCCCCTCTTTATTTTTAAGGCAAGTTCACATTCTGCTTCAACTGATTTTTTTTTCAACAATATTTTTTGTATTATTTTATGGTCTGCCAGTACTTTTTTGAAGCCCAGTTAGATAGAATAGCAGCCGACATAATTGAGACTAAAAGGGGGCCAACTATCTCTCCAGAAGCAAGAAAACTTCAAAACATAGGCATTACAAAGCACTACTGTGACTCAAAAATCACTTGTTTTTAGGGGTATTTGCTAATATAGAATTGGTTTCTTATCTTCCCAGCCCCTAGTGAGCCTTTACTGTGCAAATTCGCTGATGGAGGACAAAAGAAGCGACAGAATCAAAGCAAATACACCCAGAATGGAAGGCCTTGGCCCAGAGAAGGAGAGGTGAGTCCTGACTGACTTTTGCTCAGAAACATAGCAGTAGACATCCCTCAGAAGGGTGGCAAGACAGACATTTGGGACCCTGATGAATTCGAGTCCTGTAGAAAATTACATGGCTTTGAAGGGGACAAATGAGTAGGCCTATGTTAATGTGCTCAAGATAAAATGACTTGAGGAGGAGTGTAGGACTTCAAAATTGACCTCAGTTCTATTCTATAATAAATTCTCTGTCTTTAACCAAATCTTAACCCAATATACACTCACTGAAAGAATTGATCCTTAATTGTGGGTAGCTATATTTTCAGTGAAATCAATAGTGAAATCAATGTTTGTGTTTGGGAAAAAACACAAATTTAGATTTATTTTATTCTACCTTTGAGATAGTCTACTTGCTCATATATGTGTATGTATGCATTTTCCCATTTGTTCATAAATGTGTTGATATGTATTTTATATATATATATATTCGTATAAAATATGACATTTTCTGTTGGTCAAGAAAGAGGGAAAAAAGTTCATATACACAGGATTTTGTTTTTCACAATAAAAAAAGGCATTGAGCAGTTAATTATCCATTTACACTCTTAACACAAAGAAGTAGAAAAGCAAGCTTATGTATCCAATGACCCTTCGGAATGATTTCCTTTTGGTTATTTTTATTGTAAGAAGACAAGGAAAAGGTATCTGGGCTTCTAAGAGGTCTTTTTATTCTTTGTGAAATGGAATAGAGTTGCTTGAATGACTTGAATAAATGCTATTTTGTACCAAAGCCATAATTTCAACAGAAGAGCTTTATTTTGTATTTCTATTCAAAGCACCTACTTCATCCATTTCTCATTTAAGAGGCATCCCACTCGATGCAGCATTGACAGTTGTAAGGAAGGAAGAGGGTGGGGATTTTCTCACCAAAACCTTTAGCCAGTTTTTAGTTTCTAACACTGTTGTCTGTTTTGAGTATTTCCATGCAGGTCTCAAAACCTCTCTTAAAGTATATAGTTATGTTCAAGTATTGTATAATCTATAACTCATTATTTTAAGACATAAAGAAGAGAATCACCACTGAACACTTGAAACTAATGAAAAAGGAATGTTTGGATACTTCAACTATAGAAAGGCTATCTGTGTTATGTTAAAAAAAGGAAGGGGAAATGGAATGACCCCTGTGTTTTAGGTAGAGGTTAGTGACCAACAATTAGCCCCATTGCCTCCAAAAGACAGCTGATTTCTGACAGCACTCATTATGACATCCATCCCATATCAAATATCTGTAGTCTAGAAAGACTCATTTGATCTTTTAAAATGCTATTGGGTCAAATGCTCACTGGTGAGAGAGATTTCTGGATCCTAAACCATCACCAAGAAGCCTTGACAGTCAATTAGTTGACTTGGCAGTGATGACCAAAACCCCAGTTCCTGTCCCCATAAGAACCTGAGTTATCATATCCACAAAAGGGATGCCAGCTTCAGCAAGACACTGTACTTGAATCTACATTTCTTAGGAACTGAACCAATAAACATGAGAAATGTAGACAGAGCTGCCACTTTGCTACCTCATATAAATCTAAGGCTTTAAGGTTGATGTCATGGTAAAGAACATGTATACTATTGCCACGGAAGCATTGTGGAGTCAAGTTTAACACCCAGAGCATCTTGTAGTTTAAATATAGGTTTTAAATATATATTCCTAGTCTCTGTTTTCAAAAGTTGCTGTTTAAGAGTTCTACATTTTCCTATTGAACTGTGAAAATCAAGGGACCTTCATAAATTTATCTGTGACCCATAAAAATGTATTCCAAGTGTGTAGACACATTCAGAGGAAAGAAATTAGGAAAACAAGTAGCATGCACTAAACATATGCTTGTCAGCTTGATTTTGAGATAAGCATGTTAATTTTTACATCTTGATTGTGGTCTTAAGTGTAGACACTCTGAATGTTGCATAATTTTGTGTGTCCATCATAATATATATTTTTGCTTCTATTCCCCTTGCTTTGTGATTGCTAGAGTAAATTATGTCAGCATGGTTGATAAAGTATGGCATAATGCAAATTATTCCTATGTAGGCAATATTTAATTAATTTTTATATACCAGGAAATTCTAATTACTGTATTTCATCATTTCTAAAACACATGTTTTCATGGTTGTTTTTTGACATTTTAACACTACTGAAATTGGTTCTCCTTTTATAAGCAATGGCATTATTACAAGACAATTTGCATTTGCTCCTATTAGTCACCTGGGGACACTACCTACATTTTCTGTTTAAGGTCTTTGACCACACTGGCTGCATGAATGGAAACACTAACGAAAGCAGAGACCATGGGTCAGATTCTCAGGAGAGATTTTCTCTGTGCCCTTCCTTCACGCAGTATTAAGACTGAGACATGGATATTCCCTTGAAGTCCATTTCTGATGGATGGTCTTGTTTTCCATTTTCTTTGTAGCCCTTTGGCATCCCAACTCTAGAAGATCATTTTGGGTGTTTTTTACTTGTTTGTTTGCTTGTTGGTTTTCATTTTGTTTTCTTTTTTGCTTTTTGGGTTTTTTTGTTTTGTTTTGTTTTTGTTTTTATTTTGTTGTTATATAAAGTAATGGTAAACCTTTGAATCACTGTTGACTTAGATAGAAGGTAAGATGATAATTTCTATTCTGATGCTTCAGTATTTGGGATAATACTACAGAATGAGGCTCATGTTTTCTCTACCTCTCCCATGAAAGTCAGGTAAAAAAAAAAAAAAAAGATAGAAAGTTTTTCTCCTGAAACATTTAAGTATCTTAGAAGTATTGGGCACCTGGGTGGCTCAGTGGTTTAAGCCTTTGCCTTCGGCTCAGGTCATGATCTCAGGGTCCTGGGACCCAGTCTTGCATCGGGCTCTCTGCTCCGCAGGAAGCCTGCTTCCTCCTCTCTGCCTGCCTCTCTGCCTACCTGTGATCTCTCTCTGTCAAATAAATAAATAAAATCTTTAAAACAAACAAAGAAGTACCTACACATGACAATTGATAAGCTAATTAAAATTTTAATTTATTATGTAAAGCTATTTTCTTCTGAGTGTCATTTTGATAACAGTTCTTTTAACATAGTGAAATATATTTCTTTACCCCCCCCCAAAAAAAAATCCAGTACTGAAAACTTTATACACATAAAGTAGTGTAAATTAGTAAGGTTCTGAAATACAAATATATGCTGCTGGACATATTTTTGCATAAGTGAAATACACAGGGATATTTTAAAGTCATTAACTAATCCCTCAAGTGACAACCAAAACTCTAAGTAGAGCAATCAGGGATTGGGGCTGTTAGGCCTCTCTTTTCCAGTGCTCTACAGTTCTCATCATTTCATTTCTTGATGCAGCAATCCACAAACTCTTTGGTCTCTGTATCTTTTTATCTTCTTAGTTCATCAAAAAACAATAAAGCCATCCCATGTTAACAAAAATATTTTTATGGAAAAATTGTATCTTTCAAAGATAATTTTTTGATAATAGCACTCTTTTACATTTTTGCAAATCACCTGAATGTCTGACTTAATAAAAGATGACCAGATTTGTATATCTGCATCAGCATTCAACCTGGTGCAATATTCTGTTTGGTTTAATTATATGAAGAAAATCTAACTCCACATAAACATGCCATTGGAAAAGGGAGGACCTATGGATCTCCTAAAAATATCTCAAGAACCCTCGGGTATCCTTAGACCACACTTTGAGAACCACTATCCTAGAGATGCTTGAGCCAAGCATAGGGCTCATATTCAACTTCCATATACCAGGAAAACCACTCTGCTTGTTAAAATAGTAAAACATACTTCTTTCATTATGTAAACAACTGCTGACACTAGTCCATCAGTGTGACCCCTCCACTCCTTCCATTATGATGCCTCCTGCAGGACCTCTTATGATCTCACAAGAATGGAGTGCTGGCTGGCACACCAGGAGTTTCCCAGGATGCTACTCCAGCATTTACATTCTGATTGGCCAGTGCTTCTGTCATAATGGTGATGCAATGTTTTTATTGTCACCCTTACCTCAGAAATGGTTTCACTTTATCATCACTATGACTTTCAAGAAATGCAGTGGCTAGATATCCCATTACAGCTGAGGCCATAGTCTTTACTTCAGGCAGAATGTTTCCCAAATTGATCTTGTTAGTGCTCTCCCAAATGACTGGTCTGGAATCGGGAATAGAATCTGGAATCAGCAATCAAAAATATATCAGGAGTCACAGGAATAAAAGACATGGCATAAAGAAAGTAGTTTGTGGTATTGTAATGGGGCTGTTGGTGACAGATTGGAGCTACATGTGTGGTGAGCATAGAACAATGTATAGACTTGCCAAATCACTGTGTTGTACACCTGAAACTAATACAACATTATGTGTCAACTCTACTTAAATAAAAAATTAAAAACAAGCAAATGAGCAAATATATATAATTTCAATAATCTATATAATTATACACATACACATAATATCAGGAACATGAAGAACTCCTGTTCCTTCTTCTTATATTTCCAAAGAATGTTTGGAATGACTAGCAGAAAGCCACCAAATTTTTTGGTACCCAAATAATTTGCACAGCTGATCAAAAGCATTCAATTATGTTGTAAAGATCAATGGCTTAAATCAAAAGATGGATGTTTCTACTACAATGATTAGAGTTACTCAAACCTTGAAATTACTTTATGTTGACATTTGTTGTGACTAGTCTCTAGATTTCCTTCAGAATTTTCAAATATAACTAAATGCTAAGTGTCAAATTACAGAAGATGGTAATATTTCACCAAGTTTTCATGCTAGGACATTATCCTTAAATAGTCCAAATATCATAAACACACTATTTTTCACTGGCTTCGAAACTCTAGTCTAGCCTTCATAGATCTTCCCAAGCCCTATAGTAACTGAGTCAGTAAATGTCATTGATAACAATTGCTTTGGGAAGTGTACCTCCAAGAAATAGTATTTTGGCTATGGACACAAACAAGAGACAAGGCAATTAAACAAGAAGT